TACACCCTGGAATGGAAAAGTAAATGCTGTCATTTGGAGCAGGCTTGTGTCCATACATAATGAATTAGTCTTTCCCATGTAAACACTTCAAAGGTTTTGGGTTGAAAGGTTTGAGGTGTACACCATTTTCTACACCTCCCCACACTGGTCTCCCTGAAAAGGTAGTGCAGGAACTTGAGCCAAAAAAGGGTCATTGTGCTTCATGGGCAGGTCTCTGAGTGGGGTCATCAGGAGACCAGGAGTGTGGGACATGTTCTGTAGCACACAGTCCAGACACAGCCTACATTAATTAGGTTCCTAGTGTCATGTGGTCTTACTTCGTACTATTGCATAAATTCTAAAACTGTTAGCTCTTTTAATTAAGATTCTGTACTAAAAATGACCTCTATTTTCACCATATGCCAAACTTGGTACATAGTTCTTCTCTTCATCTTAACTTCCCATCTGCATTATCTGTTGGCACTCTCTCTTCGTTTGGCATAAGAAAGTCTATCTAAAAATGAAAGCATGTTATTTTCTTAATGGAGATAATTCTCAAGGAAAAAGGAAGAGAGAATTCGAATTCTTTCTCTGTGCTTGGGTGGTATGTTACACTGATGCGATCTAGATAATTACCCTGAGAGATGAATACCTAGGATATGACATAGATATGTTTCTGTGCCCAGTATTTGACTGTTTTAATTGATGAGATCCACCTTAAGCACTGACTCCCTGCAATCTGCTTTGTTTCCTTGGGTTCCCCAATAGCACCATCCTTATGACTGCAGTCGAAAGAATCAGGCTATGCCTGAGAAGAACAGAGTTAAGTCAATAGCTGCCAAGTTAGAAGTGTCAAATCTACAAAGCCGATGAAAGCAAACCCACACCGCGTAGCCGTAAATAAAATGTCAACCTGAAATTAATTAGACTGCAGCACATCTGACTTCGTGCCTGTATCTGTGAGACTTCAAAGCCCGCAGGCAGCGTTTGAAAGGAGCCGGGCGTTCTGGGAGGGGCGCACCAGCCTGAAGCCACGACAGGCAGAGTGAACCTGCGCTGCCTGCGATGGCCGTCCGCCTCCCGGCTGTTTCGGAAAGCCCTCTCCTGGGCTCAGGAGCGTCTCTCACCCTGCTGCAGGGCACCGTGCGTAGACCCGGATCGCTGATAGCTGTTCACATGAGATGTGTGGTTGCTGCACAACAGACACCTCTCCACAAGTCACTTATTTTCTGCTTTGGACTTCCTGAACTCACTCAGTTTAAGGCAAGGAGAGGTGATAAATCCTCTAGTCTGGGCTCCTGTGCAGCATGGGCCATCACTTTTCATCCAGTTACCCTGGTGTTGTGTCCCACAACTAGTCTTTGCACGTGACTGCCACTTATCCTCCAGAGAGTTATCCAGTCTTTTGTTGAAGGCACCACAAAACAGAGACCCTTCTGGTAATTTCTCCCAATACTCTGCTCTGATTTTTTTTTTCTTTTTTTTTTTTAAGAAAAAAAGAGAAACTCTGTGTGTTTCATAATTAAAGCTTATCTAGCTTCATCCTCTAGTGACTGGCTCTTACTGTGCTGCTCTCTGCTAGAGGAGACAGCTGTTTCCTATCCACTGTCTTCCCCCTGCAAAGGCGTTTGCACATCCAGATCATCTCAGTCCTTCCCGATAATCTCAGTGTTCTTTTTAATAAACTGCAAAGATTAAGTCTTTAGTTAAAGGTATTTTCTTCAGGACTTGATTAGTTTTCTGGCTCTCATTTCTATTTTTTAAACAATCCTTTTATTTGATGACAGGGTTACCAGCTTTGGGTGCTGTGTTCTGACATCCTCCTCGCCAATGCCCCTTGAGCAGCTACTTACTGCTCTTCTGCTTTAATTTCCACAGATTGCATAAGCTAATTTTGCCTTAACTTTTACCTTGTAAATTCCTCTTGAGGTGTTTTTGCATATAACCTTTCAATATGTAGTCTACCATCCTGCAGGTACAATTCGTGTTCCTTCTTCCTACATTTTACATTTGCCTGATTTACAATCTACTTTGCTCGAGTTATCCTAATTTACAAGTAATCTGTGTTGCTCCATACAGCTGCACTATCTACTTATGTCATCACAGGAGTGACATATTTTCTCAGTAATGGCTTTATATTTATTTTCATGTCAACTAGGCAAGCATTGTACAGCACTGAGCCTTATATTAATCCTTTTGGAATCTCTCCAAATGCATTCCCACTCAGTGATGGTTTTCTGTTGACAATTGCATATCAAATCTGCCACTCAGCCAGTTCTTACTTCATTTAGCATGTGTTCTATTATTATGAAGCAGAGATACCGTCTTGTAGAAGATCAAAGCTCCTAAATCGTTAAAATTATCTTCATCCAAACCACTGAGGATGAGATAAAAGAAGATTATTTTGCCACACCCGTTTTCCATAGATTGGGCATCAGTTATATCCCTGACCCTTTGTCAATCCTGCTCTTTACTCCTCATCCCAGCCAGGCTTAGTGCAGCCTGCGGAACAGGAATCTGGCCTGTGTCTGGAGTAGGAAGGAGAAGGCTCCCGGTGGGCTTGAGTGGGCCAGGACAGCAGCTCTTCCAGCCCAGGCCATCAGCTTCAGAATGAGTGTCGCAAAAAACCTTGTGCTATCTAAGACTGTGAATATATCTATTAAAGGTGGGGAATATGTCTATTAAATGTGAGCCAGCACTTGCACAGGTTTCTGTAGACTCCAGCTAGAGAACCTGTGAAAAAATAACAGTGAGATGTGAGTCACTTCATTCATCAAAGTGGGGTGTTAACTGTTTCACACAGGTGACTTAGAGTCATGCAGCTAATTTTTCCCCTGTGTTTGATGGGATTATTTGAATGTCTGAGGTAGGAAGCTCTGTTAGATCATCTTACCCAGCAACAAGACTCATTGCAGGCTCATTCTTTTCAATGCTTTATCCTGTGCTTTGTGCATCTGGGATTTAAGTGTCCCCAGCAGTGAGGCTTCTGTGCTCCTTAGGAGGATGTTCCAGGTCCTAGCCTGTATCCCACTTGAAACATTCGGGATGAGACTGATAAAATTAATCAGTAATGCTACAGCATAGAAATGGGCATATTTTCTTCATATTTCCGGTGTTAATTAACTTTCTTTCACAGTTCTTAGTTACACTCCAGAGACCGGTTTCAACTTTGGTGTAACTCCCAGTGAAGTCTCTTGCATTTGCCGACAGCAGAGATGAATTTTGTTCATCTGACTTTTGCTAACTGTCAAAAAAAAGCTATTGGGAGGTCAGCAGGGCATAAGTGCAGCTGTTGCCAGCAGAGGGAATGAAGGTAGGGGACAACCTTCTGAAGGGAAAAATGGTCAGTAACGGAGGAGAGGACTACGTGGAGTATCTAGGGGTCAGGCACGGATATACAACTTGCATCAGGTTCTTGCTCCCTGAATAAGACTGTGTGAATCAGACCTGCCTATCTGAAGGAAGATCTGGGAACCAGTTAGCTCTATTGCCTGAATCTGTACCTGACTTGCATTTATTTAGAAACAGGCAGATGCAGGGGATCCGGGTATGCCAGGGCTGGTTTTGGGATAGCTCTTAGCTTCTGAAAAAAAAATTTTTAGGCTGTGCCTCCGCAATTCTTAAAGATGCCTGTTTGTGAGGAAAAGACTGTAATTTGCCCAGGTGGAGTCTAGGTTTTCTTCCTTGAAAGGGATCCTCGTCCTTTCATTGTCCAAATTAGTAACCTGTTGGAGCATGCCACCGTTTCAGTGCACCCAGGCTTCATTTCCGTGGAAAGAGAGAAACACAGAAAGGGTGAGAAGGGTGTTTTCCCAGGTCTTATCCAAACACCAATACAATGTGTGTACACCCAATCTCAGGGCCTAAAAACTGATCTCAGCTTCCACAAATACCCTGCAATCCCCCAGGCTAGCGTAGGCGTTAACATGAGCCTGTAAATAATTAGTGATTTTGTCCCGTGTCACTGGTCTTGTTGAAGTGCCTAGGACTATCATCACGTGCATCAGACTGAAAGGATGATGCTGAGCGAGCATCCCTCGCTGACTGCACTATTGGATAGCACTGCGTGCTCAAAGTCTTAGAAACACAGAAAATTTGAGGGGAGATATTTATCCAGAGCAACAATTAACACAGTTAATTGCATTTATCTTTCATGTTGGCAGATCTGCCAACTGTCAGCTATTTCAAAAACTAACTCATCAGTTAGATGTCTTCATGTTGATAATTGATTCCTCAATTGTATGTGAAAAAATTCACACTTATTAAGAGCTAGTTCACAGTGCAGACTTTCTGTTTTTTCCCCCGGCGCTCTGCATCTGTTTGTCTTAAATGGAGGTTAATATCATTTCATTTCCATGGGGGAGAATAAACCATGCTTCATTTTCTTTTACATTCTGGTAATTGCAGGAGGTTGCGGATGAAGTTGCAGGAGTTTAACTCTCCAGTCTTTCATGGGAGCTGGAGCGTTTTCCGCTCTCCTGCTGCTTAAGGCGCATATTCTTAGCCCCAAAGCTATGGATGCCAAGTGTTTTTGCTAAGGAACTCTGTGCCCTCAGCTGAAGCCGAAGTCAGTGAAAAGTGCCCTAGAGCAATGGGCACATCATAGGTTTGAGCTCAAAGTTAGAAAATTACTCATCCTATATGTTCTTGTACGTTGAAGCCCACAGGCATCAATGCGGAGGCTGCTGAGCACCCTCCACTATCACCAGTGTTAGCACTGGAGGCAACCAGAACTTTTCTGGGTCTGGCTCTGTATCAGACTGTAGTTTACAGAAGTATAAATGAGCAGGGAATGTGGAAAGAGGGAAATGAGCTAGCTCACGCACTGGAAATTACGGCAGGGACTCACCAAGCTGCTCACATGAAGTAGTCTGCGAGGAGGTGGGTGCCTCTCCAGCTAGCCTACCTCCCTCTGCCAGTGATGAGGGGCGCTGCTGGAGTTTTTAAGGATACTGATACGAAGAAAAGTGTCACGAGATCCCCAAATACTGTAATACCATGAAGTCTTTTGGAGGAGGGATCAGTGGGCCCTTGACTGACTATTGATTATGGCCATTTTTCTTGCTGCCCTCACTAATAGCTCTGCTTGCTAGCTGATGTGATTTTGCAACTGTCCAGGGTCTGTACATTTGAGGGACTCCTTACCCCAACAAACTTCCCCAGTTCCCCCCTCCTTGGCATCCTCTGACTCCCTTTCCTCCCAACACCACACACCATCCAGTCTTGCTCCGTTTCACACTTTACTGGGACCTGGCGTGGCTGCAAACTGGAGGAGGAGTTTGAAAGCTCAGCCTGCCTCTGGGCTCCTCTCCTGTGCTGTAGCAGCTCTCCAGCTCCAGAGACAGAGGGGTGAAAGCAGAGAGGTGCACAAAGAGCACGAAGTGAAAGACAGCCTGGGATCGTGGATATCGCAATATTGTGGTAGAGGCAGTGGCAAATAGCCAAGGAGGTCACTTAGTCTTGTGTGGGCTTAAAACTGCAGCACCGCTGGGGTGTCTTGCCATGTCCGTCTCTAGCCTGCATTAGGCGAGGCAGATGTTCTCGAACATGCATGCACACGGATGTGCCTGAGTATGTGCCCACACACGCTGCGCAGCCTTGGCTGACGGCACACGTGTAAGCTCAAAACCTTCAGGCCTCATCCTGCAATGCAGGTGAGTACCTGCATGCGGGAGAGCAGCCCCGCTGGTTCTGTTAACGCTGCTCACATTAACGTTATTCATACTGGCATGCTCACAAAAATTTGTAGGACAGGGCCCAAAGCAGTTAAAATTTCATGTTTATTAAAACACAGCTGTATTTATTTTTGTTTGAGACTTTTAAAAATAATAACACACTATGAACAATACAGCAACCAATATAACATGAAATCATAAAGCCATTTGCAGTCATGCAACACCGTCTAGTCCTTTAACATCATGAACTGTTCACCGCTCGGGAGCTCGGTGGCATGCTAGCAGCAAAGCAACAGTGTAAGAAAATTAAAGATTGAGACCTGTGTTGGCAGTAGCAGCAGCATAAATTATTTGAAAGAGCAAACTTTAGCAAATCTAATCTACATTTTGTGATTTAGCTGATTTTCCACTTTATCTGTGAGTGGTGAAATGGAGTAAGTGGTCTATTGTTTTTCTTTCTGGCACATTTCAAAGCCAGGTCACTGAGTCAACTGACCCATAGGAGGGTGCCCACGGTATCTGTCCTTAAAAGTTGCACCTGGACTTGTGCATTGGTTTGGAATTTAAAGTTGTTGTCCTGCTTCAGTGTCCCAGCTGTCAGATATGGGCAGGAACGGTCCCTTTCTCTCTCTGGGTTCTCGCTGCTGTAAAGTTTGAGTGTTGAACACTGGATGAGGATGTTGTCTAAGCAAAAGAGGAGTTTCATTACATACTAAAAACGATAATATTTGAGGTAGTATTAGAACCTGAGCCTGCCTCCACTTAAAATAAATAAATGAACCTGCAAAATTTCATCTTGAGTTAATTGCCTAACCATAAGCAATAAAACAATAGGGACCTGTAAGCTGTCAAATGAACGATGCCATAACATGTTTGTGTGCTGAGAAGATAATAAAGAGAAAAACCAATACTGCTGTTTCATTAGGCCTTGTAGGCTTATCCTCCTTCCACAATCATATAAATCAGGAGTAACTACACTTAAGTCAATGAAGTTATCCTGCTGTAAAAGCACTATTTGTCAGGCAGGAATTGGATTAATATATAAATTATGAACCCGTTCCAAAGACTTGTGGCTTAATTTCCATTTGCTGTTGTTCCAGGCAGGTCCTGCCAGCCTCAGTTAACTGACTGCTGTGTCGCTGGCTGGCACTGGAGTGAAAAAAGGGAAAAAAAAAAGTGGGAGCATTGCCCTGGACTCTGATGGAAACAGGAGCAGGTCCCTGGAAGCTTCTTGCTCTTTTAGTGTTGCCATTTGCATTGTTTGGTTATTTATTACTGGTTTTCTTAAGTAAGAGAAGACATATGCTTGTGTCTTTAAAGGTAAGGAGGCAGACGCGTTCCTCATTGCTGTGAGCTTGTGTATTTGCAGAAACGTGGAGCCCGTGGCAGCCCTGGAGCCCCTGCAGCGTCACCTGCGGGGATGGCGTCCGGGAACGCTTCCGAGACTGCCTCACCTCCTTGCCGGCAAAAGCAGGCTGTGCTGGATCACCGAGGGAGACTTCCTTGTGTTCGCTGGAGGAGTGTTTGTGTACGTAGCTCTGCTGTCCTCTTCCCTGTGGTCGCATGTGCGCCCTGGCAAAAGCAAAGGGCCTGTTATTAGAAGGGCTTTGTAAAAGGGAAGCATCCGATCTCTCCTTCAGTCACATTGATTTTGGAGGGGTGTCACATTCCTGCGGTTGATGGAGTAGGGCAGGAGCCTACACGCGTTTGTGGGACAGCTGGAGATAGGGCTCCAAGGATTAAGAGGATTTCTGCATGCTGTGAGTGCCATGGTAGGGGTTTAAAATCTCCAGCATGGCCAGGGGATGGGGAAGGGCTGGAGGGGAGATCTCAGGGCAGCTAGACATGTTCGGTGTCGAAGGCCAAAGACTCCAGGCAATGGAAACCTATTAAAAAGTGGAAACCTATTAAAAGAGGAGTGGTTCCAGCTGGGACCCGTGGTGTGGGGTTCCCATTCTGGGAGTTTTTTGAGGTGGCAGTGCCAGGTCGCCCCCTGCTCCAGCCTGCCACTGCTGTTTGCCGGTGACAGGGCAGGCTGGCTGATGCTGACAGGTGGCAAGTGGGTGCAGATACAGGAGACCTGAGCCTCCTGTAAGGCAAGAGGGGGTTACAGCAGCCGCATGGCCCCCAGTGAGGCTGGATGAGGCTGTGCCAGCACCATAATCGGGTGCTTGCAGCCAGAGTGAGGGACAGGAGAAGTGGTCCCTTTTAACGGGGTGATGGTGCTCAGTCCATGCAAAACTGTTGCTTCTTGCAAACTCCCTGCTGAAAAGGAGGGTGCTGAGGTCTATCTGCTCAGAAACTGGCTGATCTACAAGCTCCAATGCCTTCGTGTCCCACAGGTGCTACAGGTGGCAGGGACGGGGAGGGGAAGGTGCACAGGAACTGTGCAGGCTCCTGGGCTCTCAGGCTGTAATTTAACAGATATTTTAAGCTATTACAAAGTGAGCAATGCCTTACCCCTTGCTTTGGCTGCTTCCATGCACTTCATTGCGCTGGCAAAAGTGGAGTGTGGAGAACTGAAATGGAGCCAGCTAAAAAATGGACGGTTTGGGGATGTGGGGAAGTTGCTTATCACACGGCGATTGCAATTCTTGTAGCACTGAAAAGGGAAGGGCAGCAGAGGGGGAGCAGGAAGAGGGCAGGACTACTTTTTTGATGGAGGTGTTGGCTTGAACCAGCTTCAGGGTGTTTGTTGAATGAAAGCCTCAGAAGTACACAGGCAGGACTGAAATCTATTGTGGAGCACTGTAAGAAATGGGTTGGTATTGAAAAAAAGGTCGGGTGAAGGGTAAATATTAAAGATTACATTCCATCAGGCCAGGTATTGCATTTTGTCAGTGTCAGTGCAGCACTTGGGATGTTTTAACACTTTGTTGTTAACGTGTCTGATGTTTTTAATGACTGGAGTGCTGGTTCTGTGGGTTTGTTTATTTCATAAAGCTGTGAGTGTAAGCACAGAGGAACAAGTTAGGGGCCCAGTGTAAAGCTAATGCCCTGCTCTGGGGCTAGTTGTCTTCTCTATGCCAAACTTTGTCAGACTGCTGCGGGCAGTGATGCCACCGGCAAAACACAGTGGGGTAGTTGGTGTTTTTCTAAAGCTGATGCTGAGCCGTGCTATTCCGTGCTTCTTGTTACCTGCTGGAGGGGTATTTCTGTAAGCACAGTGTTTGGCTTGGCTCCTCATGGGCCAGTTTCACCCCACTCCTCTGGAGCTGAGAGAGCAGTCGCGGTGCACAGAGCTCCCCGGAGTGGGCTCTGCGCATGTGAAGCATGTGCTGGACACATGATTTGGGTGTGCACCTTGGTTTACACACACAGAAGTGACAGGCCTCTCTGATGCTTCTCGGAGGTGTCACTCTTTCTATGCAGGTGTGCAGCTGCGTAAGGGTTATGATGGTTTCCAGAGAGGTCACCTGTCCTGTGCATACACGGTGCACATGGCCGAGGCAGTCTGGTTGGAGTTACTGCCTGACAGTGCTCAGCAGCTCTGGACAATCCTCAAATTGCAGCAGGGTCTCTGGGTTAGTGAAGAGGGTTTATATATAGAAAACCCAGATGCGCAGGAGGCCTGCATCTGCACCCATTGCCGTGGCATCATCTGGAGAAACTACCTCGCTTCTCTCTTGCACATGGTTTCTAATCCTCCTGCTCCCACGTCAAGCAGCTTCCTTACAGAATCACCTACATGATTTCATCTCATTGACTCTTAGGTTGCTCAAAAAGTGGCTTGGCACTGTGATCTTACAGCGTTCATCTGCTGTCTGATCTCAGGCTGGGAGTGTCATTCCTCCCCACCCCCCAACTGTCCGCACCTTTCTGAAGCAGGCAAGCTTTTTTTCAGCATAACTATGTTTGCAGTCATTAGTCCAGCAGGTGGAGCAAATGGCTGAATAAATGAAACCAGCATGCAGTCTAGGGGCAGAGGTAGATGAGGTGGAGAGAAGCAAACCTAAGTGACTAAGTCTTGTTTCAAACCTCGCTCTTTGTTAGCTTTTAGCTTTCTAGTCCAAATGATACAGCACAGTGTGCATTCCAGATAGAAAACAGAGTCTTTAGAAAATAGCTGTGAGACTGGGAGAAGGAATTACTCTGCTGTGGTGGTACTGAACAGGGCAAATGCTGGTCCTGCCTTCTGCCCTGGGGTCAGCATCTTCATTTCCCGCTCAGGCCCTCGGAA